GATTGATAAGAGCAATTCAACTATGTGAAAAAATTTTAAAGTTACTTTGTTCATTTTTTGTCATTGATTTTTATAGATCAGGAATACTGGAAAACCGGTATTGAACTTTTGCCAGATTTATTTTCTTCTTCTTCTTCTTTTTTAATGATACATACATCATCTAATGTTCCTATGAGAATATTTTTTAAAAGAATACTGTGCTGGAGAAAGTTTACTGTATAGCAAAAAATCCTCAAAATCAAAGAGCTTTTGACAATAGTGAGTTAAACTTGAACAGTTTCCTCACAGCAATATCTTCTATAAGCTTTAACATCTAAAGCTAACATCCAGGACTGTCTGAAAAAAATAAATATTTCTTGAACTAATTAATGATGCACTTTTTTGTTAATTCTCATCCGAGGATATTTTTAGAGAGAGTGGGAGGCAGGGAGGGAGGGAGAGAGAAAGAAAGAGTGAAACATTGTGAGAGACACATGGATTGGCTGCCTCCCAGAGGAGTCCTGACAGGGCCAGGGATCAAATCTGCAACCTAAGCACTTGCCCTTGACCAGGAATTGAACCTGAGACCTTTCTGGGTAAAGGTCTACATTCTAACCACTGAACAACACTGGCCAGGGCAATGATGCCTTTTTTTTTTTCTTTTTTAGGGGCTTCCAATTTTCAATTTTTTCTTTTCTTTAGTATTCATCAATTTCTATTTAGTATTTTAAAAGAGGTAGAAAAAAGGAGTAATACCTAATGCATATACATGGTGGAACAAAAGTAGGTTTACAGTTGTGGGAGACATAGTTTATTCTTATATGATTATTAATTATTGTATTATTTTCTGTATACACAACTGTAAATCTACTTTTGCCCCACCTTGTATTTACAAAAGCACATTTGTAACAGAATGCTTTATGTTTCCTGGCTCTTATCACAAACACACTGTTATTAGTTTTTATTATTACTGTTATTAGTTTTTAACTGCAATGACTATAATAATAGTATTAATCAAATACATTATTACAGAAGCAATTGTTCTAGAAACTGCATCTTGTCTCAGCAGTGTGCATTCTATGAATACGGGTCTGAGACACGGACTCATTTGGCTTGCGATTGGAATTTTTAAAAATTCTCCTTGAGAACCTCAAAAACAAATTACAATAGAAAGCATGTGCTGTTTGGTAGCATTTGAACATAGTTTATTTAGTAAAAGTCCATATAAAAAATGAATGCTTTGATGTAAAAATTAGGTAAATAATTTTGTTTTTTTCTAAAGGACAATAATAAACATACGGAAAACATTATGAGGAAAGAGCACATTAAGCTAAAAGTCTATTAAGTTTAAGAGAAAAAGGGTGCATTAATGACTCTTCAGGAGAAAGTTAAATATTTCCTAAGCTGCTTTGTCTCTGTGCTACCAATTAACATGGTACTGACATTTATGCTGTGGGATCTTATTTGTTTTGTTCTGTTTTTATCCGATTGTGAAAACTGGAATCATGTGAGTGGGGAAAAACAGAGGCTGTGTAACTGTCTGGTGGGTAAGTAGATTAAACAATTTGTTCACTGGTGTTTTACTTAGGTACTGGGAGCACATAGAAGGAAAAAGCTCCATTTTTACTTAAAAACTTAAGTATAACTGGGCCAAATTCATTTCTTCTATTCCTAACATGCTATGCCTCTTCTCACCTCATTTTCTTGCTCTTCTGGTTTTGAGTGGTTATAAGCATCCCACACTGAAATCTTATAGTCTCAGAATTATTTCTCTATATTAAATGAATCTGGTAATTATGAATTCTTGATTCCCATATAGCCATCTACATACAGCCCTAAGTCATATGTGTATGCCATTAAAAATACAATAACCTGTAAACCCAAGAAAAATTTCTCTACTGCCCTCTACTCCACGGTCAGTATGTGCTTCCCAGACTGGGGGTGGGGGTGTGCATTCTATTTATAACTCCATTTTGTTTCCTACCATGTGGCCAAGTTTCCACTTATTATGTGTCTGCTTGCCTTAATATTAACATCCAGTTTGGAGCACTGTAAACTGTTTCTCAGCCCCTAAATTAAAGCAAATGATATCCGCTCCACATCCTACACCAATTTTACTAGAATCCACTTCAAAGATTCTGTTTTAGAAAATGAAGTATGGCCACTGCTTCCTGAAGCCAAAGTTGGCCCTGTTCATAATGAAGTGAAACTTTCTCTGATTTCCTTTCTATTTAGACAGTTTATTCCATGACATGTTTTCCTCCCCCACTAGAATTAAACCTGGTTATTTTGCTGTTGTTGTTGCTGATATGGGGGGGGGGGGGAGAGAAGGTTAGGAGATGAGAAAGGACCCTGCCTTCCTCGGTGGTGTTTGGGACAGGATACTGTGTGCTTACAATGACATTTCTAGACTGCCTTTGGCCATCTTTAACAACATAAAAGTTCACAAATATTTAAACACTGTCTGAGCTACACACAATTTCAAAGAGAGCAGCAGTGTATATTTCTTATGTTGTCACTGGTTTATTCAATTATGTCAAAGTGGATGGCAGAAGAGACAAAACAAACAAAAACAGCCTCTACCACTCTAAATTTTAGCTTCCTCATCAGATCTGCACTCTTTGACCATTTCCTTAATTGTTCACTTATTCTAGCCTCTCCGGCTTCATGTCATGTTGCTTATTACACAAGCCATTGTCACCTTCTTTACCTATTTACACTGTGACTAGAACCCAAGGTCCGGACAATGTACCAGCAAACTGGATTCCATCCCGCCCTCCATATATTCAGAGAGCCTGGCACATAGCAAAAGAACAGAAAATACTTACAGATGTTTATAGTCACACTTCTTACTAACCATCACAGGAGCTGCTGAAGAGTATCCACCCCTATACGCATGCACGGGCCCCCACACACACATACACAGACACACACAGGCACACGCACATATACTCACACACCAGTTGGGCTTGAAGATGCATTCATTCCGAAAAGGTTCTTCATACCTGACGGTGCTACTAACCCTCAGCCTTTTCAAAGTAACTTACCTTCTTGGATCTTTCAAATTCTGCAGGCAATGTGAATCTGAACTCTAAACCCATATTAGAGGGGTCAAGGAATAAAGAGGACAGAGGGAGAGTTTGCATTTCTCCTCCACTCAGAGCCAAGGCCATGAGAATGAATGTGCTTGCCTTCTCCCTTTGAGAGATGGAATTGCTGTTTTACCCTTTGACTGAGGTGTGGTATTTTGGGAATCTTAGCCTCATACAGGTTCCCACCCAGATTCCCCATCTTGCTTGGGTCCTAAATAGTGTCATATCCTGCTGTGCAGCCATTACATGATGGGAAAATGCCCCAGGATTTCAGTCCTCATCTCTCTATAAACAGAAACTGTGTAACTCATCTAATTCAGCAAATGTTATTAAAGGTCAGTTTCTCTTATGAATATTTGTCTTCTTTCCATTCCTCAGATAAGATTCTCCCCTGTCCCAAGTCCTTTGCCCAAATGGTGTTTCACCTGTTTGAAGCATTCTTTTCATAGACTGGTGCATATGTGTGCACACACACACACTTTCTGGGGGTTAGTTCCTTCTCATTTTTTAGATCTGATTTTAAACATCACTCCCTCAGGTGGGCCTTCCAGAGCTCTTAAAGTCACAATGTAGCATCAGCAATACTTTGCACTTGGTCATTTTCAAGAGACAGACTGCCTAGAATCAAAAGTTTGGGTTCCCAGATTTTTGCACGGTAGCCCTGCCTCTATCCCAAAGCACTAAACTATCATTCATTAAGTAATACTAAAGGAATGAAATATTACTCAGTGTGTTGCCACACAGAGGACATATTCATATAGAGAAATGAGAGAAAGACAGATAGAGACAGAGCAGACAGAGACAGGCTGAGACACACCTCTGAAGAACTTGCTGGTCAGGAACACTTAATAAGTTACAGTTGCAGCTGATCACAAAATCCTGAAGTGATGCCTAGTTCTCCATTGTTTTAGAAATTAAAATACCTAGAGAAGGAACATTGTAAAAATTCCCATGCCCCAAATTCCATGGGATTATGATTTTCTCTCCTAATTCAATACAATGTTCCTTGCCTGCTTCCAGAGGATAAATAAGGATTTGTGCACATATGCTACAAAGTCAAAATAAGCCCTTGTGCGGCTTGATCTTCACATGATTTTTTTTAACTCCTGCCAAGTGACTGTACCCTTTAAGACCGTGATATTAAGCTCTACTTACCAAATTTCAGCTCCAACAAAAACCTTTCATAGTCTTACCTTTAGTTGTCAAAATCTTGTGTTTTAAGAACTTCAAGTGAATCAATTTTTAGCAGAGTTTAAGAAACTAACACTATTTTGAAACAATACCCTTAAAATGCTATTTCAATCTATTCTTAATGCATTCAAAATAACTGAGTTTTTATTAGAATTTAATAAATACTTTTTTAATCCTCCAACTTTCTAGATCTCTTCATTTTAATAATCTAACAGAATATACTTGACAAAAACCAGAGGTTCTTTCAAAAGTGTGCTTGCCAAGATCAGGAAAACACCTTAAACAAAATATTATACATTTCAGCACCACATCTCATCACAGAGCACCAAATTATCAAAAAGAACATTCGCTACATGATTACAACAGTACACTCTACTACTTTGTGCCTTGCATATTTCAAAATGCTATCATATTTTAACCTATTAAACTTTATGTCTGAAAGCCCATGGGAATTGAAAAAAGCAGATGCAGATTTAAGGGGATTAATACCTTAAGAATAATAAATTCAGGAATTTTATCAAATCAAATTAATGGTAACATGAGATATCATTGCTCTAAAAAAAAAAAAAGAAAAGAAAAGAAAACATGTGCAATTTACATTCCTGTTGAGTGCTTATCATGTACTGTTTAAATATATATCCACAGACATTTAGGAATGTTATCTTATTGGAGCTCTTAGCATGTCTATATTATAAGTAAGGATACACACCTTATATACACACAAATAACACAAAATACCTGGAGGGCCGTGAGGATATTGGCTAAAGCTTGTCCGTAAGTGTCATGACAGTGAACGGCAAGAGCAGTGGGTGGGATTTCCTTCATGACACTTTCCAACATTCTCCTCATGCTTCCTGGAGTTCCCACTCCAATCGTGTCTCCCAGAGAGATCTCATAACAGCCCATGCCATACAACCTCTTCGATACCTATGCGGACAGGTGAAGAGCTTGTAAAACAATGGAAGCGAACAGACCCAAACCCTGTTGTTCCTCAGCAAACATGTGGAGGTAAACAAGGAAGATTGTGATGTATCCATGGGAAACATTTTAGTTTTCTGATTATTTCCTTGTTCATTAAATCCTAAGCATTATATAAAGCCCTGAATGGCAATAATGTAATTATATTGTGATATTCAAGTTTGTCTTAGAATCATAACTACCTATCTATTCACATGTTTTATTAGGAATTATAAACTACAATTTCAACTATGGCAGGCTTACTTTTCCCAATTCTTTCTTTAATTAAAAGGAAGCATTACATATTTACTTTGGAAGTAGCATTTCTTAAGGAGTTAAATGAGGGGTCAAGAAATATCAATAATAGTTTCAGCTCTGTCACTCAGTAGCTTTATAATTGGTAGAGGATCAAAATATTTCTGGCTTACTTTTTCTGTCTCATAAATGGATGCACATATATTATGATCTTGCATTTCTTGACTCAAGTGCTAAGAAGTGATCTTATAAAGTGGGATTTCAATGGAGTGATGGGTAGTCTAGAAGTCACCTCGGGTATAATAAAGAGTTGCTGGTGTAAGAGGAAATGGACACCACTACTGGAGACAGTCTTTTGAAGAAACTTCTATGTGGAAGGATGGAGAGAGTCAATAACTAGGTGAGGATGCCGAATTAAGGGAGAATATTTTCAGATGGAAGAGACTTGAACATGTTCAAGTGCAATCGGGAAGAAATCTAAACAGTCGAATATACAGGGACTGAGTGAGGGGAAGAACTAGAAACTTGAAGGACAAGAGAGTGAAAACATGTTGCATCAGTCACTTCCGAAAGTAAGCGAGTGAGTTGGCTACAGAATATATTAGAATAACATAGAAGGCTATTAAAGGTTGCTGGTGATTAATATGTAAAGTTTCTAATCTGCCTGTCATATAATTCTTTTCAGCAACTGCTCAGGCATTCTGGTGCAGGAATGGAGAACCGAACCGGAGGGTATGTGTGGTCCATCTAGAGACAGCAGAGGCAGGAGAGCAAGGGGTTCTGTGTATAGGCAGAGTTGGGCCAGATTTTGTGGAGTCTGAATTTACACTATTTTGGAAGTGTTCTTTAAGACAAAAGTACATAATTGTGAATTCAAATTATTAACAACAGAGACTTGGAAGGATCCTATGCAAGTGAAGGCCTACCCCATGTATGCTTTGTTATCTTATGGTACAGTTGCCTCTGTGTGCAAAGGTCTTGCTTACATAATGGAGCATGGGCTATTCCTCATTTGAAAAATCTGCCCTGAATTTCACAAGTTCAAATACTCAAAACTAGGACTGGCTTTAGCCAAACTGAACGTTTACTCAACCTACATTTTGATTTCTAACTGTACCACCTTCACTGTAATAGTACCACATCAATACATTTTAAGAACATTAATAACCCTAACAACAGGTGCACATTAATAAACTTCATATACAAATAAATCTCTAAGATAGTCTAATGTAATTTCAAAGACTGAGCAGTTTGCATTCATTGCTATCTATTAAGAAACAGGAATAATGAGTGAAAATTGAACTTTCATCAGAGCTCCTGACTGACTAATCTATTCCAGTAAACTGTTCTGGAACAGCATCTGGAATCTCAGCAGTAAGAGCTATAGGATCCCAAAGGAACAAAGTACATATACTCCATACATGTGCTGAACGTATGCATGAGAAGAACAAAGGAATGCTATTGGAGCAACCAAGGTAAAATTGAAGTGTGCTCAAACTGCCCAGACATACTGATAGGAAGGGCACTTACTGTGGTCTGCCCACCAAAAAGCAAGGCAGACACTTTTATTCCCTCCACCTTGGAGCACCCAAAATATAAAATTCAAATGTAACTTAACTCTGAACAGTTATAGGCTATATGTACGTTCTCAGTGTTAAAATGAAACTGCTAGTTAAACAATCACATGACTCCCACTCCACGGTTCACTTTAGTCTCTGTTGTGCAGATGCACGAAATATGAGGGAAATAGACTCCTTTTAAAAATAACATACATTGTTTTGCCATGAACTAGAAAACCAAAGGCATATCTTACTTCTGTCACTTTTTGCGGTGTGATGCTTCCTTCATATGGACAGCCCAGGGCACAAGACACATACCTAGGTTTAAAGAACAGAACCACATGAGTATAGTGGATAAGCCGTTTCCTATTTTCCATTTTATAAAAATAAAGCAATAGCACCCAAAAAATCATTAAGAAATTTTACTTTACATCCTTTAGTATTGTTGTATGCTCAGACCAAACAAAAATAATTTTGGAACATTTTCAATTTAACTCACATGTTCATCTTCCTAATAATTACCATTTGATATATGTTATTTGATGGCAGATGGGAATAAGAGATAGGTGCTTAGCTTATGGGATTGTTTCTACTATTGCAACATGTGAACATTCAAAGCAGAAAATACCAGTGAAACATAGTTTGATTTAAATAAGTACATGCATTCAACTGTTAACTATTCAGGTTTTTGGAACCATAGAGAAAGACCATAGATAACTATCTGAACTATTAGTAGATAACTATCTGAACTTTGCTCTTCACTCCCATCTGGATGTCTTGGCTTCATTTAGAGAGTCTTTAATCACTCCGAAACTCTTATAACTGGCCACAACCTCAAAGTTCATCTTATCTCTTGTGGCTATATTTAAATCATCCCAAACAGAAAAGCATCTAGTCTGCTTTTCAAAGACTCCAAATAAGGATATTCTACAAGCATCTTCAACAATTTGATATTTAAAAAGCCATGCTTTTCCTGAAAAGGCAATGATACATTTCCATCTTAAAGTCTTAAGCTGTAGAAAAAGTCTGCTTTCGCTATTTTCAGCTCAACACCAACCCCATTTCATTCAACTTTCCTCAGAGACTTTACAACACTTGTATTAAAATCATGCTTCATGCATTGGATTGTTGGGAAAGAAGCAATTCACAGGAGGAAGAGGTGGGCGGTGAGAAATGAAGCTTCAGATCCAGTTCTTCAAACAAGAATATGAGAGGATTTAGGAGACTTGAATGCCAAGGAGACTAAACTTTGAGATATTTCAAAGTTACTTTGGGGCACTCAAAATTATTAAGTAAGTTATTGACAAGATCAGATTTGTTTTCTGGAAATGTAACTCCTTGAGAATGCTAGAAGTGGTTACCAGAGGAGAATACCATATTTCTTTGATTCTAAAATGCTGTTGACTGGAAGATATACTATGGATTTCATTACAGGTTTTGGAGTAAGAAAATATAATATATATAGCCCTAACCTGTTTGGCTTAGTGGATAGAGCTTTGGCCATAGACTCAAGGGTCCCAGGTTCGATTCCAATCAAGGACATGTACCTTGGTTGTGGGCACATCCCCAGTAGGTGTGCAGGAGGCAGCTGATCGATGTTTCTCTCATCAATGTTTCTAACTCTCTTTCCCTCTCCCTTACTCTCTGTAAAAAATCAATAAAATATATATTTAAAAAAGAAAATATAATATATAGTAAATAATTCAATCCATATCCATTGATTCTAAAGATGTAACCTAATTTCAATGTAAATGTGATTAAAGTTGTGTTTTGACATTAAATAAGCAGTTTTGAGGACAAGGAAGGAGAAAGAGGGCAAATTCAAGTAAAATTTGACAGTCATATTGGACAGAAAGCCCATCTCTTTGCTTTTCTAATTACTAGAAACTACGTTTATTGTTTGATTAATCTATACATTTGATCAAGATATGTGAAATTGAAAAAAATGTACTTCTGCAAGCATAACATTAGATGAGGTGTCTAAGGATGAAAAAGAGTAAATAGTTTCATTGAATTTATTGGGGTGACATTGGTTAATACAAGCATAACAAGTTTCAAGTGTACAACTCAAAAATACATCATCTGGACACTGCACTGCGCACCCATCATTCCAAGCAAAGTCTCTTTCCATTCCCATTTCCTCCTTTGCCCACCTTCATTTAGCCCACCTTCTTTTCCATATGGCTGTCATCACATGTTGTCTGTGTCTATGAGTTATGATATATGTCCTTTAACTAATCCCTTCACCTTCTTTCATCCAGTCCTCCCACCCACCTTCCCTCTGACTAAAGTTGTCAGTCTCTGCTGAAACTGGTTTGGCCCAATGGATAGAGTCAGCTTGCAGACTGAAAAGTCCCAGGTTCGATTCCAGTCAAGCGCATGCACCTTGGTTGCGGGCACATCCCCATTAGTGGGTGTGCAAGAGGCAGCTGATTGATGATTCTCATCGATGTTTCTAACTCTCTATTCCCCTCTCTTCCTTTCTGTAAAAAATCAATAAAATATTTTAAAAAAAGAAAGAAAAAGTCTGTTCATGTATTCTTGCCTTTGGTTTGTTTGTGTTTATTTTGTCCATTAGATTCCACATAACTGAGATCATAGGGTATTTGTCTTTCTCTGACTGGATTATTTAATTTAGCATAATAATATCCAGGTCGATCCAAGCTATAACAAAAAGTAAGATTTCCTTCTTTTTTATGGTATTACATTGTATAAATGTATCACTGCTTTTCCATTCACTCATCTACTGATGGGAACTTGAACTCTTTCCAGATGTTAGCTACTGTAAATAAAGAACATAGAGATGCATGTATTCATTCTAATTAATGTTTCAGGATTCATAGGCTATATTGCCAGAAGTAGGATGGCTGAGTCACACGGCGGATTTTTTTTCAATTCAGATATAATTATAGATAATATGTTGGAAATATAAGTACATTGAATCTGAACCCAACATATCTAGATGCGATTAAATAGAAAACCCAAGCCATCCATTTATATGCTGTTCCTCTAATTGTGAAAACCACAATAAGAAAAAAAATAGCAAATGCAAAACAATATGAAACTAACCTTTCCTGAATTTCTATTACCTGGCCATAGCTACCACTCTATGCTATAACCCTGTCTCTCTGAGTACATTTTCATTCACTCACATTTTTCTGCTAGTCTTTCCCAGGCCTATGGCTTGCCTGGTCTTCACACTCCATGATATTTCATCTTTCTATGTATTTCATCTTTCTATGTTCTCCATCTTTGTAAGTTGAGTAGTCACTTCTTTAACCTATTTACACATGGGGCTACTTTCTCCAAAGTGAATGTGACAGTTCTCAACTGCATTCATTCACTGCACTTTAACCCTCTAAAACAGAGTAAGGAACAAAGCAAGTCCTCCTCACCACTCTTTAGCAAATAAAATTTTATTGGACTAAACCATGCCCATTGTTTAGCTATAATCCATGGATACTTTCATATTATAACAGCATATCTCAGTAGTTGAAATAGAGACCATCAGAAACACAAATCCTAAATCATTACTCTCTGGCCTTTACAGAAAAAGCTTGCCAACCACTGGCAAAAGGAAGGCATGATCATGTGTGTGAAAATATGCTGCTTTATCTACTTACTTGTGGCTAACAGCAGTTTCTAGACCTCCGCTCTTTTTCAATATCTATGACAGTGGTTCTCAAACTTAGCTATTCAGAATCATCTGGGAAGCTTTAAAAACAAACATACAAAAAAAAAAAACCAAAAAAAAAAAAAAAACCACCTCTGATCGATAGGATACTCTCCAAACTATCGATAGTTGAATCAGAGACTTAGAAAATAGAATCCAACCTTTAATGTTTTAAAATAATTTTTGAAGTTTCATTATCCTGTGAAGTTAAAAACCACTCAGCTATTAGTAATACTGCCTTATCCAGAGTGCTTGATTAATTCCCTTATATAAAAAGTGATATTCAATAGACCTAATAGTATCTAATCTCAGGAATCTCCCAACTACTTTGCCACAGCATTTTTACTCATCTTTGATTGTCTCCTGGTTATTAAATGTATAATTTTTACTTAGTGTGTTCTCATGATGATTTTAGTTTCTGTTGGAATTCCACAAGAGTCTTGTATTATTTAAATGTCCCTAAGATGGAAACCTGACTTCCCCACCCTTGCCCTGAGATCTTTACCAGTCCCTGGACAAATTCCTACCTTAATTCCTCAATTGGTTTCTACAGGACCCATGTGTTATAAATCCACAACCCCACACTATTTATGGCATAGGTCCCAGTGACTACATTGGCAAGGAAGTGTTTTCAGGCTCCAAGATTGTTCAGTTACAAATCCATGTCTTAGAGAAAATCTATCTTTTCTCATGCAGACATTCAATCCTATTTCTAAGCCAGAAGAGACTGTATCTAGGATGGATACCCCATTGTGTTAGTGGCATCAACTGGCATACTAATCACATTTTCTTTGATAAAATCTTGGGGCTTTCTTTTCTTTTCTATTCTGAGAATGGTATATGTTTTAAAATGTGTCATATTTTTATGTTTGCAATGGGAATAGAAAAAGGAGTCCCTGAACCAGCTCAGTTCTCCTTAGTCTCTCTCTCACCATATGCAGGTAACTCCAGGGGCAACTTCCAGTCTCCTGGTGAATATTATGAATTGATTGCCTGACACATTCAGATGACATATCAAGTCCAATCTGTCCAAAATGATGCTCATCCCTATTTCCCCTGCATTTTTCATTTTTTTAAAAAAAACACCAGAGCCATTTCCAAAGTCTGTGCTGCTAAATCACTCAAAGGTCACCTTTGAGAACATATTCAAAGTTTGGCTAATTCTTCTCCTGCATCTCTACAGCATGCAACCACTGCCAATGGCTGCCCAAGTACACACAACAGCCCCTGTGTCCCCTCTCCAGGCAGCCACAGATGTCTCCTGCATGCTTTCCTTGCCTCTAGATTCTTACCGCTCGTTTTCCTCCAGGTCATATTGCCAAAATGATACTCTTAGAGAATAGATCTCACTATATATTTTTCAACTTTAAAAATATTTTACGGGCTTGCCAGTGTCTACCACATAAGCTTACTATTCAAGTTCAGCAATTTGTGAAAACTCAATGTAACTTTCTTTAAAACAAAACAAAACAAAACAAAATAAAAGCTACAGTTTTATTGATTTCAAAGAGGAAGGGAGAGTGAAAGAGATAGAAACATCAAATATGAGATAGTCATTGATTAGCTGCCTCCTTCATGCCCCACACTGGGCATTGAGCCTGCAACCTGAGCGTGTGCCCTGACTGGGAACTGACCTCCTGATTCA